GCAGGGAGCCCAATGTGGGGCCCAATCCCAGGACGCTGGGATCATGATCCGAGCCGAAGACAGACGCTCAATGACTGAGCCACCGAGGTGCCCCTGCAAAGATTTCTTTTTATTTATTTGAGAGAGAGAGAGAGCATGGGTGGGGGAAGAGAGGGAGAGGGAGAAACAAAGTCCCTGCTGAGTAGGGAGCCTGACATAGGGCTCAATCCCATGACCCCAGGATCATGACCTGAGCCGAAGGCAGAGTTGCCAACTGAGCCACCCAGAGGTGCCCCAAATTAGTTTTTTTCATAGAAGTATCCTGAAAGTTGAAAGACTGTCTTATCCTTACTCTGGCACCTTTGTCAAAATTCAGTTGACCATATATCTTGGATTTTAATTTTAGACTCATTATTCTTTTCCATTTATTTATATGTTTATCCTTACACCAATACCACACTCCTTGATTATTATTGTTTTGTAATAAACTTGGAAACCCTCCAGCTTTGTTCTTTTTAAAAAATTTTTAGGCTATGTTAGGCCCCTTTCATCCTAAAATAGTATTTTATAGTGTGTTTCATCCTGAACATGTTTATAATTTTTGGTGCTGTTGTGAAATGGGTTTTGTTTTTTGTTACATTTTTTATTACATTTTTTATTTTGTTTGTACTGATAATAGGTATCCTATACTTTTGTATGTTAATTTTATATTCAGCAACTCTCTCAAACTCTTGTTAATTTTAATAGCCAGTGTTTAGATCTTTTTGAATATTTTTTATAGCCTGTTATTTTGTTATGATTATAGTTACTTATTTGGGTTACTTTCCAATTCTTTTTTTTCCTTGTCTCTTAGTATTAATTAGGTCCTCCAGTTGAGTGAAGTGATGAGAGCTGGCATCCTTTTCTTGTTCCTGACTTTAATGAAATAGTTTTAGACTCTTAATATTTTGAGTATGGGGGTGCCTCGGTGGCTCAGTCATTAAGCGTCTGCCTTTGGCACAGGTGATGATCCCAGGGTCCTGGGATCGAGCCCCACATGGGGCTGCCTGCTCGGTGGAAAGCCTGCTTCTCCCTCTCCCACTCCCTCTGCTTGTGTTCCCTCTCTCGCTGTCTCTTTCTCTGCCAAATAAATAAAATCTTAAAAAAAAAATCCTTATTTAAAAAAAATATTTTGAGTATGATGCTTTCTCTAGATTTTACAAGGTTTAAAGTTTCCTTTTTATTCTTAATTTGCTGAGTATTTGTCATAAATTAATGATAAAATTTTCTTGATTACTTTTTCTGATATGTTTAAATGATCATATAATTTTCCAGCCTAGCATTTAAGAGATAACCTTAGTCATGCTGTGTATTTATCTTTTTAAATACACTGCTAAAATCGATTTGGTAATATTTTATATAAAATATGCAGAAATAAAGTACTTTGTGAAGTTTAATATATGTGTATGTGTATTTTTTATCCCAGAAAATATTACTGTGATACTCTTTGAATCTTCATTTAGATTTACCTGCATATTTGGTGCTTTGTTTGCTCTTTATTCCTTTTTTCATCTACCTTCCATCTGGGATCATCTGCCTTGTATGTAGAACATGTCCTTTGGATTTCTTTTTGTGTTGGTCTGCCAAAGATGAAGTCTTTTTCTTTCTTCTATCAGAAGGTGTTTTTATTTCACTTTGATTCTTTTTTTTTTTTTAAGGTTTTATTTTTTCAAGTAATCTCTACACCCAATGTGGGGCTCAAAGCTACAATCCCGAGATCAAGAGTCTCATGCTCTACCAACTGAACTAGCTAGGCACCCCTTCATTCTCATTGACATAGATTTTAACTGGGTACAGGATTAAATATTGGCAGTTGTTTTCTTGTTGATTATATTGTTGATATTGAAGTTAGATGTCAGTCTTACTGTCCTTCCTTTGAAGGTAGTTTGTCTTTTTCCTCTGACCACTTTGAAGATTTACTCTTTGTTTTGGTTTATTTTTGCTTTTGTTTTTTTTGTAGTTGCACCGTTTTGTGTCTTGGTGTAGATTCCTTTTTATGTATCCTGCTTGGGATTTGTTGGATTTCTTGAGTTTGTAGATTGGTGTATTTCATTGGCTGTACAGAATGCTTAGCTATTAACCTCTTCAGATAGTTCCATTACTTCATTCTTTCCTCTTCCTTTGGGATTCTGATTAAATAGATATTAAACCTTCTTTCTCCTCTGTGTTTTATGTTGTCCTTGGTGTTTTTCATCTTTTTTGTCTTTCCATGCTACTTGGTGGATAATTTCTTTTACTCTTTATTTCTCATGATCTGTTCTTAAACTGTGAATTGAGTTCTAATCTATCATGTATCTGTCTTTCTTTCTGACTGTTTATTTTTAGTTTAGGAATTGTGCTTTATTCTTTTTCACATCTGCTGTGCTTTTTCTGAGATCCTTTTCCTTTCAGATTTCTTTAAACCTTTGCTTCTTTAAATATAATAAGAATTGTTGATAAGGAATTTGTAACTGATAATTCTAAGATTTAAAGTCTCAGATCTCTGTGTCATCTTTTGTTTCTGTTGATCGTGGCTGATGGTTTCTTAGTTTTGGTTTGCTTGGTTGTATTTAACTTTGTGCAACCTAGTAGCCTAGTGCATCAATAGGAATAATTTGAGGCCCCAGCTGAAGGCCTCAGCCATTAGAGAGGATCTGGCTTCAGCCAAAGAAATAGAAAGTTGAATTCTTTCTGCCTTCACTTTTATGTGGTAATTCCTAATGTCCTTACAGCCCACATACTCTAGGGAAGATTTTAAAATGTTTTTTCTAGCCTTTTTAGTTTTATTAATGGGAGGGTTAGTATGAATAAACTATCAAGCTATTAAATAAAAATTTCATCGTAGCTCTACTAGGCTTTAATTTAATCCAGCTTTTCCTTTTTTGTTTTAGATCCGCTCAGCTTATTTTGAGTTAGTTTCTGCTTTGTGCGAGCGTATTCCACAGTTGATGAAAGAGGAAGCATCCAAAGTGAGCCCATCTGTTCTACTTAGCATTGATGACAGTGACCCCATTGTGTGCCCAGCTCTCTGGGAAGCTGTACTTTATACACTTACAACTATTGAGGTGTGTAAGAGAGGTACATTCAGTACATCAGGGAATATTTGTCTTCTTAGTTTGTTTTTTAGAAGCCTTAGATATGATGTGAGAGAGAGCCTATCAGATTATACTATCTAAAACTTACTGGAAAAAAATATTTTCTTAGAAATAAAATACTTAATCCAAAACTTGGTATAAATCTTAAACTGACTATAAAATGGCATAGAGTTTTTATTGTACTTTTAGTTTAGCCATATCAATTATTCTTTAAACCGTATGTGATCCAGTGAAGTCAGTATATCTGAATCTTTTATTTAAGATTGAATATTGCTGTCCGTTTTACAAAGCAGCTTTTATAGAAGTCTTTTAAGTTAATTATTTCTGATCAATTATGTGTGAGGCACGTGGGGTGTATGATTACTATATGTAATAAATTTATTAAAATTTCTGAGTTTTAGTTTAAATTTAGTTTTAGTTTTAGTGATGAGAGATTTTAATCTCTCTAGGTAGAATGCCTGATTACTACTTTTGAGAGCTTATATGTCTCTTAATTGGGAAAAGTATTTTATGATCTCTAATTGTTATTATAATCTTTCCTTTGTTAGGACTGTTGGCTTCATGTAAATGCAAAAAAAAGTGTGTTTCCGAAGCTGTCAGCTGTGATCCGTGAAGGTGGTCGGGGTCTGGCTACTGTCATATATCCTTATCTTTTGCCCTTTATCAGCAAACTCCCTCAGACCATTACAGATCCAAAGTTGGATTTCTTCAAAAATTTCCTCACCTCTGTAGTTGCAGGGTAAGGAGTTTAAATTTCTTGATCGCAAGAGATTTTTCTTGTTTGCATATATGGGTAGGATGACATACTCGTTATTGTCTTATTTAAATTTCTCCAAATTGTTTTGCTGTTCATTAAGCACTTTTAAAGTTTTCAGAGAATTACAATTGGAATCCTTTTCTTGGGTACTTTCAAGGCTTCAGTTGTAATACACAATAGAAAGTGCAATGAATATTGTAAGGCCTTAGATGGAAATAGACCATTTTTCAAATGTTATTTTTTGGAATGCTGATAAATACAAATGCCCAAATGGAAAAAATGAACCACTGAAGAGTTTGTAACTTCCATAAACTTAAATATGATAGCTGTTTTTAAAGTCATAATTAAAAAAAATTTCTTAGTGTAATTGTTGAACTTAGTAAAAGATACTGTTTTATTAATGATTACAAAATTATTTTTTACTACATTATTATCTTTATTTAAGTCCTCTCTTTAAAATTTCAGATGGATTTGTTCCTGAATAGAAAATAGATTTGTATTCTCTTTTGTTGACATATTTGAAAATATGCTTTTTTCACACTTCTTCAGGTTCCTATTGTTCTTAGTTTTTAGTTTAAGAATTTTACTGTAAAAAATTCTTTTCTTTTGGTATGATGCCTTATCCATGTCTTTATTTAGGTGTTTCTGAGTTGCTTATTTTCTTTTTTGTGAAAGAGTAAGCCATAGTTATTTATTATTTCTTAGGCTATCAACAGAAAGAATAAAAACCAGCTTTTCAGAGTGCTCAGCAGTAATATCAGCTTTTTTTGAATGCTTACGTTTTATAATGCAACAAAACTTAGGTGAGGAAGAAATTGAAGAGATGCTCGTCAATGACCAGGTACTTATAATGTAAAAATCATCAGTGCCTTTGCACATTGACTATAAAGAATCAAGCCCATTGCATCTTGTTGACATTTTTATTAATTAACCTTCATATAGATTTCATTTTTTATTATTTACAAATTGAGTAATGTGTATTGCTGACCAACTAAATAAAAATTCTGTATTTGTTGCCGGAATAATACCATAATTCTTGAGTACTAATTAGTCTCTGGATGTGCAAACCCTGTTTATTGTAGAGTTGTAACACAAAACATAATTTCAAAGTTGCTATTTGTGGTCTTTTATATTAAGTGTAAATTATGCAATAATTTGTTACTTCTAAAATATTTAACAACATTTATCCTTTTGTGAACAATTGTGCTTGGCTTTTAGAACCAGTGATAAGAGCAAGTTCTGGAATATGGTTCCTTATGTTAGGAAATTAAAGAAATTATATAAGTGTAGATCCTGGTTGATGTCTCAGTTAACTTCTCTTTGTAATTTAAGAAAAAGTTCTGAACTCTGTGGGTCCATATATCTTTCATATTGATTTAGAAAAAAGTAAAAACCTTGAGTAAGTTCAGAAAATGCAAAGAAAACTATATTATTTGTTAATGACCAATAATCTTGATTAATTATATCATAAAAAGTAATTGAGGGGGAATGCAGCGAAATCGTTAACCTCTTTGTATGATATGAAAATGATCTTCAAGTTAACTCTTCAGAGTTTTGAGGGGAAAAAAAATCAATGTTTTTCAGTTATTAAATATGGGATTTTATAATGTTTTACAAATACCTTGTTTCTTTCTTTTTTTTTTTTTTTAATTTTGAGAGAGAGCAAGCAAGCAAGTGGGAAGAGGGGCAGAGGGAGAGGTATAGAGAGAATCTTAAGCTGGCTCCATCCCCAGCTCGGAGCCTGACTCAGGGCTTGATCTCAAGACCTTGAGATCATGACCTGTGCCGAAATCAAGAGTCAGGGACTGCTTAAGGACTGAGCCACCCAGGCGCCCCCCCCGGCCCTTGTTTATTTCATTTTACTTATTTTTTTTTTTTTTACAAATATCTTGTTTAAATTTTATTGCTCCTGAAAACTGAACTTTTCTATTTCTACCTTCTCTTTTAGTTGATTCCTTTTATTGATGCAGTTCTCAAAGACCCAAGATTGCAAGATGGGCAGCTGTTTAACCATTTAGCAGAAACTTTAAGTTCCTGGGAAACCAAAGCAAATGTGGAGAAAGATGATAAAACAGCTCACAGTTTGGACAAAGTGCTGCTGAATTTTTGGGAAAGACTCTCAGAGATCTGTGTGGAGAAAATCAATGAGCCAGAAGCTGATGTGAAATCCGTGTCAGGTGTATCTAACCTGCTACAGGTCCTTCAGAAGCCAAAGAGCTCGCTGAAGTCAAATAAAAAAAAAGTTGGTAAGGTTAGATTTACTGATGAGCTACCAGAAAGTAATAAAGAGAATGAAAAATGTGTCTCCTCAGAAGGCGAGAACAGTGAAGGCTCTGAATTAATGACTGAACCTTCTCTCACTCATAATTGTTCAGACCTTATATCGCCGCTAAGGAAGAAACCTTTGGAAGACTTGGTCTGTAAACTAGCAATGATGAGTTTTAATTATGTCAATGAGCAAAAGTCGGAGCAACATCTAAGGTTCCTTTCTACTCTGCTTAGCTCTTTCTCTTCAACCCAGGTATTTAAAATGCTGTTAGGTGATGAAAAATGGAGTATTGTCAAAGCTAAACCTCTTGAAATAGCCAGACTTGCACAAAAAAATCCTGCAGTGCGGTTTTTATACCAGAAACTGATTGGTTGGCTAAATGAAGATCCAAGGAAGGAAGCTGGTTTCTTGGTGGACATTTTGTACAGTGCCCTCCATTGCTGTGACAATAATATGGAAAGAAAATATGTCTTGGATGATCTCATCGAGGTATTGTTGTGTATCTCTTTAAACTATAATGGTTTACATTGCCACACTAATTATTGATAAGTAGAATGAGACCCGCATGGAGGTTATTCTTGGGTGGTTTCTTGGCTGTGAATATCTGTTTAAAGAAGAGCAATATATTCTTTCCAGTTTTAGTATATGTGCTGCCAAAGCGAGCACAAGCAATATATTCTTGATTGTGATGGGGAGGTGTATGAGACTTACGGGTATGTGTTCAGTAAGTATGGTAAGATGACAAATGCTTGGTAATAAAAGGCAAAGTTTTTTAGTCTATACTTTTTAAAGTTGGAGTAGCTAAAAAAGTTTTAGTTTTGTAGTGATTACATAGTGACTTCATTCCTTCTAGCAGATTATTTCTAATTCTTTTTCCTCTTTCAGGGGGATCTGAAATGGAATTCTATTCTTCAGGTCATTGAAAAGGTATCTTAGGGATTTTTTTTTTCTTTTTGGTATTTATGGGTATAGAAAAATGGAAACCAATCCTATTCACATGCTGGTATGTGGTCAGGTGTCTATGTTAGAGAACTTCCTTCTTACCGTAACTTTCTTCCCATAATTGGGAAAGCTTTTGTTGTTTGCCTTTCTGTAGTATTATTTTTCTGGTTAGGAATATCAGCAAGGAGGGACTAGGCTCTGGAAAATCCAGTGTTTCTCCCCTGGCAGTAACAAAAGGAGAGTTAAACATTTGATGACCTTTAAATTAAGACTACAGGTTTCTGCCCTTATCCTAGTGACCTTTCCTTCGATAGAAATGGATTGAGTGGTTTTAGCTTTGGCTAGAACACTTCAAGAAATTAAGTTTGTCCTACTCCAGAATCCTGTACGGGCAAATTAAGATCTTGCAGGCTTTGTCTGATTGCCACTTGACTAAATAAGAAAATTGTGATAGAAATAATGAAAAGAAATCAAGGAACCTAAGCAATTTAGAAGTTTTAAAAATGACTTAAGTGTTTTATCCTAATAAAGATGTAAATGATGCAATACTTTTCAACCATAGAAATGTTTAGACTAGTTACCTAAAATTTTTTTTATTTTAGCATTTTTTATTATTTTTAAATTTTACACAGATAACTTTTTAATTTATAAGGTTTTTTTTGTACCTTTATTTTAAATTACGGTAAAAACCCCATAACAAAATTTGCCGTCTTAACTATTTCTGCGTTTACAGTTCAGTACTGTTAAGGATATTCATAGTATTGTGAACCAGTCTCCAGAATTTATCTTGGAAAACTGAAACTCTTTGCCCATTAAATAGTAACTCCCTATGTCCCCTAATAGTTTCTTTTTACAGAATAAATACAGAATATTAATTGACTGTTTTTCAGTGAGAAATATAATGTATCAACATTTCATTAGTTTATCCACTACCTTCTCTTTCTATAGGCAGGGTACATGAAAAGCCAAATTATCAGAAAGCTACTTGGTAAGTCTAGAATCAGAGCAAAAGGAGTTAATAATTTGATAAGAGAAGACTAATACCCATTTTCAACTTAGGAATGTACTTGCCAGGGAGCTCAAATACTCATATCCATTTGGGAGACTATCCTCTTCCTGGGTAGAGTTTAGAAGTTATGGGTAGTGTTTGCCTCCTATACTTCCATGACTAACGGGTCTCTTCACCCCCCCTTAAAGCTGGTCAGGTTCTTTCTGTAGATTGGTTAAAACATTAAGTATTGTACTTCATGTCTTGCTAACTTGAGAGACATTTAGAAGTTTATTTCCTGGATTCTTTAAAATAGATCAGTTTTATTTAGTAAACTCTATTAGGAAAGCCAATATTATATAGCTACATAGACTCTAGTTTTTCTTGTTTTTAGGCAACTTTATACTTTATGATCAGAGTTATAAAGTCGGCTTCTTTAAAAACAAACCTGAATTTTGTAACCAGAAAAGGACTTTTGAGATTTTCTAGGTTAATCTTCATTTCTAAAATGAGGAAAGAGGCCCAGGTTGGTTAAGAGATTTCTCCAAGGTCATAAAGCCAGAATAGTGGTAAAGCTTGGACTAAAATAAAAGTCCTGGTTACCTACAGTTTCTTAAATAAGAGGATAAACAGTTTTTTAGGCACCACCCAATCTGCACTTGGATTTTTTTTTTTTTTTTCCAGATTGCTTTGAAATGAACCAAGTTGCAAATTCCTTTCTTGTCAGCCCTAAAGCAAAAGAAGCTCTGGAAACATGGATCAGCATGCTTTTGGGGGTGGATTTGCAGTTTTTTTTTTCCTTGCTTCCCCACTCCATGAAAATAAACCAGTTGCTGTTAGATATCTGGCCTCAGTTACTATTGCAGAAAATTAGGGGAAATAATAAGGCCCATTGTTCATATTGAAGTAACTTACAACTATTAAATAATGGTTGTTCCTTAATTTTAGTAAAATTAATGAACAAAAATTTAAAATATAGAGCATTTTAAAATGTCTTCAAAGTTCATCCATTCATTATTCATTGAACATATCTGCAGTGTTGATAGCAGGTATCAAAGAAGTTTAAGACAGTCTCTACTCTCAAGGAACTTACAATCCCATTGGAAACAAGACATACACAGATGAAACATTATAAATAATAATACAATCCAGTAAGTGCTTTAGAAATACAGAGAAAAGCAGTGATGAGTATGGACTGGAGTGGATGGGGGAGATTTCGTAAAGCAGGTGGGCTTTGTAACAATTCTGAGAGAATGGATGGGATTTTGATAAGTAAAGAAGAGGGGAAGTATTTGTGGTTGGGAAGATAGCATGAGTAAAGCATGAAAGTGTACATAAGCAAGGCTTAGTGGGGAACAGGGACAATACCAGCCTTCTTAGAACTTGAGGAGGAGTGGGAGTAGTGTTGGGGCCATGATGATGAAGGGAGGTAATATGGTACAAGTAATATTTTAGGTAGATAAACTTTTTCATCTTCTAATCTTTGCTTTGATTTTATGGTTTTAGGCATGTTCTAGTTCAGATAAACATGCTTTAGTAACTCCTTGGCTAAAAGGAGAAATCGTTGGAGAGAAATTGGTAACCTTGGCAGATCATCTTTGTAATAAGGACTTGGAATCCTCAGTATCTTCTGAATCTTACTTCTCAGAAAGATGGGCTCTTCTAAGCTTGGTATTATCCCAACACATTAAAAATGGTAGGCAAAAATATGGCTTTTGTTTTTTAGTAGGGAATAAACCTTTCGCTTTTGGGGGGGATTCCATATTGCAAAGTTCGCATGTAATTGATTAAGAATAACAAGACTTCATTAAGATATTTTAATCTTATAAGCACCCTAAATGTCTATTAATCTTTTTAGCATAACTTGGAAGACATTGTAATATTTTTAGTTTTATATTCTAAAGGGTTTTGAATAGCAAAGCTCTTCACTAATTTTGTAGAGCATTGCTTTTTTTTACTTTTAAATTGTTTTTTTACGTTAGGGCTTTTATGTGCGAGAGATCAGATTGATTTATTGATATAATTTTCTTTTGTCTACATTTTTTTAATACACAGAAAGATTTAAGTGGTTGTTAACCCAAAGTAAGGTATTAAAAAACACACTTAATATTTTTAAAATTTTTTGTCTCTGTGAACTTTTTTTCTCTAGATTACTTGATTGGAGAAGTATATGTTGAAAGAATTATTGTTAAACTTCATGAAACTTTATCCAAAGCAAAGGAATTGTCAGAAGCTGAAAATAATGACTCATCAGTGTCTTTTATCTGTGATGTGGCCTATAACTATTTCAGCTCAGCAAAAGGATGTTTGCTAATGCCATCATCTGAAGACTTATTATTAACTCTCTTTCAGTTATGTGCTCAGAGCAAAGAAAAAACACATTTGCCAGGTAATAGCTTACTGCTCAATGTTTTGTTGGGAATCTCCGGCTCTGACCTTCATAGTGTAAATGCCCAGGCTTTATTAATTGAATCATAATGTACTTGAAAGTTGAAGGCATTTTGAGTAAAGGGCTACAAATCTTAAACATTTTCAGCTTTAGAAACCAGGTTAAAGATGTCTGTAGACATTTTGTCTAAATTCTTTCTTGATACCAAAGACACAGTTTTAGAAGGGGCCATGATAGATGAGTTGGAATCTTAACCCCTTCACTCAGTGGCTGTGGTTTGGCAAGTTGCTTAATTTCTTGATGCCTCAATCTCCACATTCATTAAGAGGGGGTATTAATATCTCCTTCTCTTCCTCATTGTTGGTATATATCAAAATGAAATTGAGATTGCCTTTTTAAAGACTATATTGCCTTATGTATTAATTGAGACTTAATTATGAAAGGAATGTTAAAAAATACTAGTATTGATACCTTTCCTTCCAAACCCTTTCTTTTATACTAACTTCTCTATTTGGAAAAGGTATAATATTTTTCACATCTCCCAAAAGGACAGTGCCCTTATAAATAAGTTCAGAGCAGAAGAAAGCTAACTTTAAAAATCTTAACATGTTTGTATTTACATGGCATGAGCTAGCTTGTATTATTGCACATTTATGACGATTATTTTATTTCGGCAAAATTTTATGTTCTCCTTTTTTAGCAGTATCTTAAAAATCTCAAGTCTACATTGAATTATTTCAGACATTTTGTACTGATTATAGTTGCTTCATAGGGATTACAAATTACTGTTGACATCTTGATTTTAGACTTTCTTATCTGTAAACTGAAAAATACTTGGCTCTGTGGTGTGAATTTATTGATCCACCAAACTGGCAATACATATAAACAGAGTACCTTCCTATGTTTGTCTGCTCTGTGGCTGAAGAACCAAGTTCAGTCTTCATCTTTGGATATCAAAAGGTAACGTTTTTTATGCTCATTTGCTCTCTCTTTAATACCTGATCACTGTCTTTAAATAAGAGCCCATGATTAGTGTGAATGACTATGAAAAATGATTTGTTATATAAGAAATCTATAGGACTCTAAGAGAAGATCCAGACAAAAAGATTTTTCCAGAAGGAATTTGTTTTAATGATCATTCATTTAAATTCCATTAAATGAAGAGTGATTTGTCTTAGCATATCTGCTGGACTCCTAATTTATGCTCAGTGATGTGATGGTGGTGCCATCCTCTGTCTTGTGGGCTGGTGTGGATTATAACCATGACCCCTCATGGCCACCACACATAGTGACTGTTCTTCATTGTTTATTTTGGGGGACCAGGTAGCCACTGTTTAAAGGTGTTGAATTGCAAATATATTTCACACCTCATGCCTAAATCCATATGTAAAAGTGAAAACCAAGAGAATGCATCCAGAGGCTGTTAGGGTTGGGTCATATATTTTGCTGAACGTCATGGTTTTTTTCATACAGTAAGGTAGCTGTATTTCAGAAATATCTGATCTGAAATAAGTCAAGTTGCATTCATTCTGAGATAGAAGCAGCACTCAATTGAGCAGCACTCAATTTCAGATCATAAATGTTGGATTAAATCCACAATTTGGCTGTGTGTATTTTGGATATAGGGTAGAGGAGTTGCTTAGCTTCATTTTTACTAGTCTTTTTGTTCAGGTAAACTGTTAGCCTGCCACAGGGTATTTAATGTGTACCAGGGTGTTAAGTTAGTCATAGCATAACTATAACACTTATGTGGTTTGCATTATTTTCAGTCTTCAAGTCCTCTTGTCTGCTGTTGATGACTTGCTAAATACGCTTCTAGAAAGTGAAGATACTAATCTTCTGGGAGTGTATATTGGAAGTGTAATGCCAAGCAACAGTGAATGGGAAAAGATGAGACAGTCTCTTCCTATGCAGGTATGTTTGAGATTGGATAGTGCTTATCTTATTTTGAACTTTGGACTTCATGCAAGCTTAAACATTTTTATTTTATTCTGGGGAAGGAAAAAGTAAACAAAATGACTATCTTTTGTTTTTTTCTGGGGAGAAAAAAGGGTATTCTGAAATGAGTATATTGCTTTGCCTTTATGTCTCTGAATGCTCATATATTGTATGTTTGTTTGTAAGACAGTGGCAGTTGCCATGGTACAAGGTGAATTAGACCTAGTTTTGTCCTGAAGGAGTCTTAAATACACATGTTGGTAATTTCTTGAAGTAAAACCCAAACTTCTAGGCTTCTGTGATTTTACTAATAAACTAGTAATAACTTCATTTTTGAAGTTATTCTAATAACATTTTGAAGATATTCTAATAATTTCATTTTCCCTGTCTTAACTGCATAGGTAGTAAGTAATTTAGAATATCTAATGATTTTGTATATAATTTAATGTATTCTTTTTACAGTGGTTGCATAGACCTCTTTTAGAAGGAAGATTGAGTTTGAATTATGAGTGTTTCAAAACAGATTTTAAAGAACAAGATACAAAGAAACTTCCCAGCCATTTGTGTACTTCAGCCTTATTGAGCAAAATGATATTAGTTGCACTGAAAAAGGAAATAGTCCTAGAAAATAATGAGCTTGAGAAAATAAGTAAGTATATATGAGCATTCAGATATAATAGAAATGTTCTGAAATAATTATAATTTTGAAAGAATTTTGATTAACCTGCAATTTAGATAAGAATCTTCCATTCCTGTTAGCTGTTTTAGTGATGAGAAACTTGAGGTTACTTGAGTGATGAATGGTAAATTGCACATTGGATGGAAACATACTGAAAACTTGCTATAATCTTATTAGCAATAGAGCAGAATTTGGTATAAGATCAGTTACTTAAGCTGGCAAGACATTGATACAGGTAGATCCTATGGAATATATCCTTAAAGAAAATGGTTAAGTGAGTCTAACGTTTCATCAAGGATTCTGAATTCTCAGTTTTTGAACCACTATACCTTTGTGTTCATAGGGATGTATGTACACACACACACACACACACACACACTTTTTTCTTGGCAAGTAGAGGTTCAAACAAAAAAATCCGCCATTCCAGGAAATGGTGTAGAATTGTAGGAAGCAGTGTGACCTATATAAAATGGTATTAAAGGTACAGAGGATTTGCATAATTTCTCTGTCAGTCTTGTTTGTAAGCCTTCAGCTGTAGCATAGTTAGTAGTAGAAGGAACATATGCCCTGGGGAAGAAAGCTGGAACACCTCTTCTGACTAGCAGCTCCACAGGCAGTTAAGGGCAAGGAGATTAGTCTGCAGTTTATATTGCCCACAGAGTAAATCTGTCCAAAAACAAAACTGGAAATTGGAGTAATGATCTTTGTAATATTTGTTTTTGTTAATTGTGTTACTAATTACAAACTGACAACATTATGTTTTTAATCTTTTTATCAACCCTATCAGATATTATTATTGTTTTCCTCACCTTGTTGTTTTCTTATCTTGACTTGATTAGAGTTACTTAGCTTGGAAGGGATAGGATTAGATTTTGAACCAGGTCTCATGTCTTCTGACTCCAAAATCCATACATGGCTTTATAAGAGAGTGTTGTGACTAATTATGTATTAAAATCTACTATGATGTGCTAGGTACTGGTCCTTGAATTCTCACAGCTCTCCCTGAGGCAGATTTTTGTACTCTAATTGATAACTATATGGACAGCTCATCTGAATCCAGACCAGTCTGTCACCGAGGTCCACGCCCTGTTTACTATATCATGGTATTTCCCATTCCTTAACATTGGCTTGAACTTCTCATTTCAGGTGTTGGGTCCATTAGTTGTTTGTCCTGTAAGTAACTTGTTACCACTTGAGGCAAAAATAGTAGGAAGATTCTTCCAGTATTTCTGATAACTTAGGCTAGTCGCATTCTTCACTAATCAGAAAAGGAACCAAGTAAGATTTGGGAGAAGAGTCTCATTTTGTATCAGATGTTCTCAGGTTTCATTATCATGGAACATCTCAAAGCAGATTTGAAAATCAGTTCATAGATATTTTGAGACTGGTGGGCGTAGCAGTATTAGAAAATGGGGCAGAGAAGTGAAAGTGATCAAAGGCCTCTTCACAGAATACACTTGATGATGTGTCGTCCATTCTATAGTTGCAGAACTGCTCTATTCACTGCAGTGGTATGAGGAATTAGACAATCCACCTATTTTCCTAACTGGATTTTGTGAAATGCTTCAAAAGATGAATATTACATATGATAACTTGTGTGGACTTGGTAATACTTCTGGCCTTTTACAGCTGTTATTTAACAGGTAAGAATCCCTTTCAGCATCCATTTTTATATGATTATTTTACTCATTTTTGGCTTTGTTTCTGTAAAATGTAAGCTCACGTTGTGCTAATCTTTCAGTCAGAGGGTTGGTCTAAATTAAACCCAATTCTTTTTCTTTTTTTTTTTTAATATGTATTATTTGAGACAGAGTGAGAAAGCACAAGCAGGGGGAGGGGCAGAGGGAGAGGGAGAAGCAGACTCTCCACTGAGTGGAAAGCCTGATTCCAGGATGGATCCCAGGATCCCAGGATCATGACCAGAGCCCAACGAAGACAGGCGCTTCACCAACTGAGCCACCTAGGTGCCCCTAAATTAAACCCAATTCTTAATGATAAATACTTTGTGGATTCTAAGTACTCGATTTACTCATCTGGGGAGATATTTGAACTTTGGTTACGTTCTTAAATCCATAAATACATTCAAGAATGGGACAGATGACAATGAAAGAAATAGAAACCTTGTAGAAGTTGTTTTGTCATCTGTGATCCATCCTTCCACTACTCTCAAATCTAAGCTTTTACTTTGCATGTTGTTACAGATGTGTCTTAACATTATAACCACAGGGGCGCCTTGGTGGCTTAGTTGGTTAAGCATCTGCCTTCAGCTCAGGTCATGATCCCAGGGTCCTGGGATGGAGCCCTACATGAGGCTCCCTGCTCAGCGGGGAGTCTGCTTCTCCCCCTCCTTCCTGCTCGTGCTTTCACTATCTCTGTCTCTCTCAAATAAATAAATAAAATATTTTTTAAAAAAAGATTATAACCACAGAACCCTCTCACCTAGTTGAGGAAAGTAGGTATGACAACAGTCACACAGGTTATAGCAGTTAGGTATTTAGCCTGTTGAAATTACTGTGTTAAACTGCTTCTTTTTCTCACTAGCCAATAGTGTTTTGAGTATGCTCTGTGGTATCAGGAACCCCAAGCTGAGTGCATCTTTCTCTGCAATCTCAGTCCACATACTCGACACTCAGAACTTTCCCTGGCGGATATTAATACCTCCTTGGTTCTTCAGCATTAACCAGCCTTGGTGTCCTGTGGAATATGTCCTTTTCCCAGCTGCAGTCTCTGGTTCTCAAGGCTAATCTCCCCTATTGGGATTTGTGGGGTTTGGGGATGAGAGCTCAGTACCAGGAGTGTTGGAAGCCTAAGCCTCCCAGTCCATTCAGTAATGGCAGTTGTTTGGGGGCAAAAGCCCAATGTGAATTGATACCCTCACAAGGTGATTTATTTAATTCTGTAAAAGGAATCAGGCAAACACTCTTTAAAAATCTTAAACATTTTGAAAATGGATTTTTTTCTTTTTCTTTTTTTAGATCCATGGAAAATGGCACCCTTTGGTCTCTCATTATTGCTAAGTTGATCCTTTCCCGAAGTGTTTCATCTGATGAAGTAAAACGGCATTATAGGAGAAAAGAAGGGTATTCTTATTTTAAATGTTTGTACTTTGTAATTTGTTGTATTTGGTCACTTTGGCAACCCCAACTAATGAATCTAATCAATCAAGGAAACAAGGTTTAAGAAATGAGGAAATTAAAGGAAATGAGAATTAAAGACTTTTTTTTATAGATTTTATTTATTTGCAGGGGGTAGAGAGAGAGAGAGAGCGAGCACACACAGAAGGAGAGGGAGAAGCAGACTCCCTGCTGAGCAGGGGGCCTGACATGGGGATTGATCCCAGGACCTGAGCTGAAGGCAGAGGCTTAACCAACTGAGCCACTCAGGTGCCCCACAGCTGAGCCACCGAGGCACTCTGAGAGAATTAAAGACTTTAAAAGAATTTCAGTTGTTTTAGGGTTGGGACACACCTTATTTTATAAGTATTTTTAACTTTATAATATTTTGTTATGGAATTTTATACTTGGTTTAAAAAGCATTTTGTTAACCTGCTCTCTTTTCCCCAGAAATCTTTTTGGTAGAAATCTTTCTTTTTCCCCTCCCTAACATCCTTCTTCTATTACTTTATTTGCTATTTGGAAGTGATAGGAAAAGTTACTTACTCTTCTCTTTAATAAGGATCATCCTGTTGAAAAATATGATAGAAATGTGATAAATGTGTTCTTAAGACAAAGAAATAGATTATGGGGCTGGACATACTAGAGATCTAGAGTTGGTCATATTAGAGAAGCTGAACACTCAAACACTTAGTTGAAATTTACCAAGAGGCATTTTGAATTTTCTGATTTACCAAGAATTCTGAAATGATATGCATATGTTCTGGTAAGTAGAATTATAAACTAAATTTCTATTTTTTCGTATTTAGAAATGTTTTAAATTTATTATTTTGAAATAGTTACAGATTTACATGCAGTTGTAAGAAATGATACAAGGAGATTCCATATACCCTTCATTCATTTTCCCTCAGTGGTACCATTTTGCATAACTTTAATACAATTTTACAACCAGGAAAATGGCATCAATACCATCCATTGACTAAGTTTACATGTACTCATTTGTTTGTGTGTGTGTTCTATGTAATTCACATGTCTGACCACTACCACAGACCAAGAGACAGAACAGCTTTATTGTAAGGATCCCTTGTGTTACCTTTTTATAACCAGGGCCACCTCTCTTCCTCCCATTTTCATCTCCAGCAACAAGCAATCTGTTCTTCTCTTTATCGTTTAGGAAAGTTATATAAATGAAATCATATAGCATATGATCTTTTGATATTGGCTTTTTTATTTAGCATAGTTTAATTTTTTTCTGATTATAAAAGTAATAGGGAATTAACTAGAGAAGTATTAGAACTAATTACTAATGATGGATTTATACTTGACAGAAAAATCAAAAACTTTTTTATTCAGTGGTAATAATTAAAAATGGCATAGGACGCCTGAGTGGCTCAGTCGTTAGGTGTCTGCCTTCAGCTCAGGTCATGATCCCTGAGATCGAGCCCCGCATTGGGCTTCCTGCTCGGCGGGAAGCCTGCTTCTCCCTCTCCCTCTCCCCCTCCCCCTGCTTGTGTTCCTGCTCTTGCTGTCTTGTCTCTCTGTCAAATAAATAAATAATAGAAGCCTGCTTCTCCCTCTCCCACTCCCCCTGCTTGTGTTCCTGCTCTTGCTATTTTTCTCTCTCTCTCTGCCAAATAAACAAAAAAACAAACAATATTAAAAATGGCATAGGAAAAAAGAGATTCTATGCAAAATGACAAGAAAACTATACCTCGAAATAAATTTAACAAAAAAAAATACAGTATAAAACTTTAGTAAAGATTACAAAAGAAGGTGGGAAGATAAATTGTAAAAATGGTTGTATCAGTCTGTAATTGCAGTGTAATCTCATTCAAAATTCCAGCAATGTTTTTTGAAAAACTTGACAAACTGCCTTTTAAGGAAAAATGCTCAAGAATTGGTAGGGGTAAAAAAAGAATCAGTAGGAAATTTCTGAAAGAGAAAAGTGAAAGGGACTTGCCTTGTCAATATAATAATTAAGGAGTATTAAATTGGTGAATAGACAAATCAGTGGATCAAGATATAGAATCCGGAAACTAATCCACACAGATTTGAGGATTTAGTTTTTGATGCAGGTGGCCTTTCAAATTAGAGGCATGAGTCAATAATACATGATGTTAGGAAAACCAGATATGTTTGAAAAAAATAGCAAGATACCCCTCTCTTTCGTTATACACCAGAATGAAGTCCAGATGAAAGCTAAGTGTAAATGTAAAACGTAAAACAGATCTATATAAAAGTATCAAGGGAAAATAAGAGTCTCTATGTAATCTTGTTAGGGGAAGATCTTAAGCAAAGCACAAAAACTCAGAATCCGTAAAAGAAATGATAGATATTTCATTTTGTGAAAATGAAAACTTCTAGCAATGTAAGTGCCCATCAAGAAATGAATGGATAATCAAAAAATGGTGGTACACACATACAATGGAATATTATTCAGCCTTTAAAAGGAAGGAAATTCTGACACATGTTATACATGGATAAGCCTTGAGGACATTATGCTAAGTGGAATAAACCAGGCATAAATGACAAATATTATATGATTCCGCTTATATGAGATACTTAGAGTAGTCAAATTCATAGAGACAGAAGGTGGAATGGTGGTTGCCAAGACCCGAAGAGAGAGGAAATGGGGAGTTCTTGTTTAATGGGTAGCGTTCCAGTTTTGTGAAATGAAAAGACTTCCAGAGATTGGTTTACACAGCAGTGTGAATGTACTTAACACTACTGAACTGCACACTTAAAATACTTAATTTGCTAAATTAATATGTATTTTACCCATAATTAAAAATTTTTAGAAAAAGAAAACTTATGTATGACAAAAATGCAGTAAATAATGGTTAAAGGACAAGTGACAAAATGGGAGAAAACTTTTACAAATTAACAAAAACTTAATATCCATAATATACTAATAGCTTCTATTAATCAGTAAAACCATCCAAATTAAAAAATTTGTCAAGGACTTTAACAGGTAATTCATAGATGAAATGGTCAGTAGTCATTTCATTTATAAAATGAAAAATGAATTTGTCATAGTAATAATGATAGAAATACAAATTAAAAGAAGCACATTTTATCTGCCATCTTTCTAGAAATTAAGATTCATCAAGTGTGCAGTCATATTTGTCCATTTTTGGTGAAAGTGTAAATTGTGCTTTTTAGGAAAGCAATTTGAAATTATCAAAATGTAATACATTCATATCCTTTGCTCTTGCAATTCTACTTCTAGGAATCTAGCTTAAATAGTATTATATTTGCACATAGGCAGAATAATACCTTGCTCACAGACATTTATTGCAACTTTATTTGTAAGAGCAAAATTTGGGAAAAAACCTCAATGCCCACTAATAGGGGAATAGTTAAATTATGATAGTATGGAATATTTTTCTTTTTGTTCTTAATTTAGTTATGGAGCTTTAAAATAGAAAGTAATTTATATCTATATGTTCTGACATAGAAAGGTCTAAAATGTAAGTGGCAAGTAATACAGTAGTATATTTAGAGTGATCTCATTATGTAAATACATAAACACATAAACTAATTAATAAATAAAAACATAAATAAACATAAAATTCAAGTATATATATGACATCTATGAATATCAATTCATAGAAGGGACACAACTGGTACTGTTTAAATGAGTCAGTTGACTCTTAAAGAGAACATAATCATATATTGTATAATTTTTAAAAATTATACATGGAGGTGAAGTTATATATACTTATGTTAAAAACTAGAAGCCTTTCATCATCCAGAACCAGCAACTCTAAATCTTTTCATTGTTTCCTTTTTTTTCTATACAGTTATTTTATGTAGTGGCATTATTAGTCTTTTTGAATATTCTGAAGGAATTTTCTGAAACCACTGCATGTTTAGGATAAATATAATTCATACTTTTCCTTCTCTTTAAACAGTTTTTTCCCACTAACGGAAGGTAATATGCATACCATTCAAAGTCTCTGTCCGTTTTTGTCAAAAGAAGACAAGAAAGAATTCATTGCTCAATGTATACCTCCCCTTTTGGCCTGGACTAAGGAAGATCTTTGCAGTACTAATGGTTAGTGCTTGATAATAAATATTTCTTTACTTTAATTATTGCTTGAGATAAAAGAAGTGTTTCTTAATATCTAAATCCAAATCTAGCAGAGATAAATTGAATTGCAGCTGATTTATTCCTAGTTTATACTTTTGCTTCATAACAAGTTGGCAGTCAGTAGGATGAGTGTCATTGGAGAGTGACTGTTACCATTTTGTAGTACAGAAATGCTACAGCCTTAAGGGAAGATAAAAACCTCAACTGTCCTTTCATTATTTCCATCCATAGCATTTTTAGCTATGCTTAATTTCTCCCTAGTCAACCAATGACTGAACATCTAGAGGTAACAGAATAATTTTTGTTGTATTTTAAACCTTTTTGGATACTCTGTACTCTTATTAGTTCATTTGTTTATTAATTTAATAACACTGAACATGGCTCTTTGGCAGTTCCTTTGGTAGAGAGGACAGGCATAAAGTTATATCATGATAACCGATGTATCAGAAACATGTCCTGTGCGTCAGAGCAGCAGAAAAGGAGTTTCCCCACTCTGCTTTGAGGCATCAGTGGTGATTTCACAAAGAAAAATTTAACTGGGTGATGAAGTATATTTTTCCATATGGCTAGAGTTGGGGGGGGCATATGGATATAGTTGGGGACAGACAACATGAAAGAGTGTAGAGAGTTCAGTTTGGCTGGCATTTAAAGTAGAAGGTTGGGGACAAAGGATGTAAGATGCACAAGTAGCTGGATTTTGAGAAAGGGTAGGGGAAAGGCCTTATGTAGGTTAAGGAATTTGGACTTTAAGAGCTAGGCAGTAAGGAGCTATTGGCTCAAATTAGGTAGGAGAGTTGTAAGACTGTCTCATTAGAAAGATTATTTTGATAACTGTGAAGGATGGATATGAGGGAAGAGAGATTGGGGGTAGAAGACAGATAGGAAACTATTGGAATGTCTTTATTTTTTAAAATTTTTATTTTATTTATTTTTGGGGGGGTGGGTCAGAGGAAGAGAGAATCTTAAGCAGGCTCCATGCCCCGCATGGAGCCCGGTGGCGGTACTCAGTCTCCCAACCCTGAGATCATGACCTGAGCTGAAATCAAAGAGTTGGATGCTTAATTGACTGAGCCACCCAAATGCCCCTGGAATAATCTTAATGAGAGATAAACAGAGCTTGAATCAAGGCATAGACGGAAGAGAGAAGTAGGAAATGAAAGAGATTATGGAAATAGAGTTGGTGTGGCTCTGTGATTCTATTTCTGAATTGGGTAGAAGAAAATACCAATAGGCCTTATAGAGAACCTTTAAAGGAGACTTGAAGGTTAGGAGGAAGTAGGCAAGGAGTATACAGGGAGCCAATGTTAAATTAAGGTGGCTATGGTTATTACTCAAATGGAGATTGTCTATCGATCGGATGGAAATACTACTTTCCAAGCCCACATCATGTAGGTAGTAGTATAATCTGTAAATGAGCATGAGCTTGTCCAGGCAGAGTGAAGAGTGAGAAGAACGTCAAGGGAATGCCAATACATAGATACAAGGGGTATGTGGGTGGGGAGAGTTGAGAATAAGGACTAAATATAAAAGCAGAGGAGTTTTAGGTAGTATTCAACCCCTGTGTTAAATACCACAGAAGTTGACATAAAATTCAGGAATGAAGAGTGTTGAGAAAATGGAGGCAGATATTTGTTCTAAGTGTTCGGTGAAAAGGGATGTAGAAAGGTGAAAGCCAGAGATGAATTTAAGGTCAGAGGGAAAATTGGTGTTGCAGGGGAGGAGGAGGAGGAGTAGGAGATAGAGAAACTGATGATAGCTCCCACTGAGGTGATGAGAGGGATGGAATCTACTTAGAAGATACTAACCTCATGTAGGTGGAGTGACTTTCTTCAGAGAGAAGTTAGGAGAGATGGAGGATGGATGCAGATGTGAACAAAGAGGGTAGGGAACTTGATGTGTTCCTTACTAATAAGCTTTGCATCTCTTTGGGCCAGATCATTTAATGAGTAGAAACTGGATTGCAGATTTTAAGGATAGTGAAAGTTTGAAGTAGTGGAAGAAGAACACGCCTATCAACAAACATTTGTCAAGAAGAATTACCCTATGGCACCCAAAGCCAGCCGATGTCAAAAATAAATTATTGTGGCATTAAGCTTTATAGTTTCGTTCACTGACAGAGTTAGATTGTAGGATCAGGCAGGGATTTGCAGTTCTGGAATGGGGATGCAGTAGAACTGGCTGTGCATAGAGGAGAGGAGGACCTAATGGGAGTGCAGGTGGTTTCTCCAAGCACACATTATAACTGAAGTATGGCCAAGGGAAAGAAGGGGCAGGAGGAGACAAGGCTGCAGTGTCACACAGCTGTGTGCAGTCACACAGACCATGGGTTCCTAGCTGTGTGGAGGCTCTACAGGAGGAGGAATGTTTTTGAGATTTGACAAGTAATTTTGCTCTTTCAACCAAAGTAATGAAAACTAACAAATAGTTTTTAGTATATAGTTGTTAGAAAATCTATTGTTTCTGATTACACTTGAGCTCAGCCTATTCAATTTTGCCAGGAAGATTAAAAAAAAATTATTCCTCTGCCTTTAAAGGACGGTTAAATACATTATACATTTTTTTTTCTTTATTCCTCAGTTCCCTTTTACCTAAGGATAAGAACCCAAGTCCTTAGTTTGGCCTGTTGGACATTTTACAATCTTATTGCAACTGATCTCTCCAGTTTTACTTTTTGCTTCCATCCTGGACCTGGCAATGCTAAATCTTCATGATTTTTGAACATTATATACTTTTTTTTCAGTTTTATTGAAAAATTATTGACATCACTGTGTTTCAGGTGTACAACACGATGGTTTGATTTATATATATATTGTGAGGTGATTACCACTATAGGTTCAGCTCACATCCATATTCTCATGTAGATGCAATAACAAGAAAAGGAAAAGGAAAAAAAATTCCTCCTGATGAGAACTCAGGATTAACTTTTACCAGCATTCCTATATATTATATAGTAGTGTTAGCGTAGTCATCATGTTGTACATTACATCCCTAGTACTTATTTATCTTATAACTGGAAGCTTGTGACTGTAATCCTTCCTCCAAGCCCCGCCTTCCCCCATCCTCCCTTCTGGTAACCACAGTCTAATCTCTTTTTCTGTGAGTGTAGGTTTGATTTGGTATGGTTTGGTTTGGTTCCACATATGAGTGAGATTATACAGTATTTGTCTTTGACTTATCTCACTTTAGCGTAGTATCTTCACCGTCCATCCATGTTGTCACAAATGGTAGGATATCCTTTTATGGCTGTGAATAGTATTCCATTCTATGTATATACCACAACTTCTTTTCCATTTCATTCATTAATGGACCCTTGGGTTGTTTACATGTCTTGGCTATTATAAATAATATTGCTATGAACATGGGGGTGCAGATATCTTTTGGAGTTAATCTTTTTGTTTCCTTTGGATATTCATTGACCTTTGAACAACATGGGTTTGAATTGTGTGGGTCCCCTTGTATGCAGATTTTTTTCAATAAATACAGTACTATAAATGTATTTTCCTTATGATTTTCTTGACATTTTCTTTTTTCTAGCTTACTTTATTATAAGAATATAGTTAATACATATGTGTTAATTGTCAGTGTAATTGGTAAGGCTTCCAGTCAACAGTAGGCTGTTAGTAGTGAAGTTTTTGGGAAGTCAGAAGTTATATGCAGATTTTCAAGTGCATGGGTTGCGGGGGTTGGTGCCCCTAACCTCCACATTATTTGAGGTTTAACTGTATTCTCAGAAATGGAATTACTGGATCATACAGTAGTTCTATTTTTAATTTTTTGAGGACATCCATACTGTTTCTCATAGTGGCTGTGCCACTTTACAGCCCCACCAACAGGGCATTAGGGTTCCATTTTCTTCACAGCCATGCCAGAATTTGTTATCTCTTACCTTTTTATGATGGCCCTTCTGTTAAGTGTGAGATAATATCTCATTATAGTTTTAATTTTCATTTCCCTAATGACTAGTGATGTTGAGAATCATTTTATATATCTGTTGGCCTTAGGAATATTTTCTTTGGAAAAATGTGTATTCAGGCCCTTGGCCCTTTTTTGTAAATTGGGCTATTTGGTTTTTTGCTATTAAGTTGTATGAGTTCTTTATATATTTTGGATATTAATCCCTTATTGGATATAAGGTTTGCAAATAATTTTCCCATTCTGTAGGTTGTCTTTTCACTTTGTTGATTTATTTTGCTGTGCAGAAACTTTTTAGTCTGATGTAGTCCCACTTGTTTATTTTTTATTTTACTTGTGCTTTAGGAGTCATATCCAAAAATTAATTACCAAGGTGTATGTCAAGAGCTTCATTCCTATGTTTTCCTCTAGGAATTTCATAGTTTTATATATTTAAATCTTTAATTGCTTTTGAGTTAATTTTTGCAAGTGATGTAAGATATGGGGCCAGTTTTATTATTTTACACGTGAATAACCAATTATCCCAGCACCATTTATTGAAGAGACTGTCTTTCTCGATTTAGTATTCTTGAATACCTTGTCAAATATTAGTTGATCATATTTTGGGCTCTCAATTCTGTTTCATTAGTCTGTTTTTATGACCTATTATACTATCTTGATGACTATAATAGCTTTATTGTATAGCATGACATCAGGAAGTGTGATGCCTCCTGCTTTGTTCTTCTTTCGCAGGATTTCTTTGGCTACTCAGGGTCTTTTGTGGTTCTGTATACGTTTTAAGAGTGTTTTTTCTACTTCTGTAAAAAATGCCAGTGGAATCTTGAATAGGGATTGCATTGAATCTATGGATGGCTTTTGGTAGTATTGATATTTTAACAATATTAATTCTTCCAGTCCATGAACATGGAATACCTTTCTATTTATTTGTGTCTTTGATGTCTTTCATTAATGTCTTGTAGTTTTCAATGTAGAGATCTTTCATTTTCTTAAATGTATTCCTAAGTATTTTGGTTTTGATGCTATTGTAAATGGGATAGGGAATTTTTTTCAGA